TTCCTTGTTCCATTTGTCATACAAATGTTCAAACAGCACATTATATTTCAAATATATACTTCTAAATGTTTCAAATATATATTTCTGAATGTTTCAAATATATATTTCTGAACGTTAGTTCAGTTTTGCAGCTTTTCTCAGTTTACAAAATACTTACCTTCAAAATCTTTTGTGCCTATATTTAACAAACATCAATAGCTGCAATTTATATATTTTACCAATAGTTTAGTATTCAAGTCCTTTTCCCCAAATCCATGGGGTTATGCAGTTGAATCCTGTTTCCCTGAATCCACGGGGTCATCCCGAATCCACGGGGTCATATAGTTTAGTCCCAAATCCACGGGGTTATATAGTTTTGTCCCGAATCACGTCGGGGTCACCATTTGTGGTCATTATATTGCAGGAGTTTCTATTGCTACTATATTGCAAGGGGTCCATGTTGCTGGAGTTTCTTTCCTCCTTGATGTTCCTTGTAGGCAGCTCCTCTAGGCACTGGCTCTTCCTTGTTCCATTTGTCATACAAATGTTCAAACAGCACATTATATTTCAAATATATACTTCTAAATGTTTCAAATTTATACTTCTAAATGTTTCAAATATATATTTCTGAATGTTTCAAATATATATTTCTAAATGTTAGTTCAGTTTTGCAGCTTTTCTCAGTTTACAAAGTACTTACATTCAAAATCTTTTATGCTCCTATTTAACAAACATTAATAGCTGCAATTTATATATTTTACCAATAGTTTAGTATTCAAGTCCTTTTCCCCAAATTCATGGGGTTATATAGTTGAATCCTGTTTCCCTGAATCCATGGGGTCATCCCAAATCCACGAGGTCATATAGTTTAGTCCCAAATCCACGGGGTTATATAGTTTAGTCCCGAATCACGTCGGGGTCACCACTTGTTGTCATTCTATTGCAGGAGTTTCTATTGCTACTATATTGCAAGGGTTCCATGTTGCTGGAGTTTCTTTCCTCCTTGATGTTTCTTGTAGGCAGCTCCTCTAGGCACTGACTCTTCCTTGTCCTCACAGCAGCCAACTGACTCCAGTTCCCCTCAACTAACCAATCCACTATTTTATAACACTCTTCTTATTGGTTACTGCTTCTAATCTTTAGGAATTGGCTCAGCTGCAACTCTTTAGGGGATAAGATTACTTTCTATACTTTATTTACCCATATTCTGTTCCCTGCCCAGGGCAAGGTGCCCCTGCCCGAGGACGTGGTGCCCTTTGATGCCACCTCGGAGACGCCGGTGGAGGAGCAGCGGG